CAAAGAACAACCACACCTTGTGCATTTGTGTGTGCGCGTGTGCATGTGTGCACACCTTCAAGTTGCCTGTTGACAACCCTATAAATTTCATAGGCTTTTCTGAGGAAAGGAATGGTCAAAGGTGGTTTTGCCAGTTCCTTCCTCTGAAATGTATTTGATAGCACCTAGTATTTGTTAGTGGTCTCCCATGTCAGTAGTAATCAGGGCTGACCCTGCTTAGATCAAATAGCATCTGGTGCCTTTAGGGTATTTAAAAGATTATTATTGGAGTGTAGAGGAAGAAAGAGTGGATTTTGCTTAGATTAATGGGCATCCTGGATCATTTTATTTTTAAAGATCATATATCCTGCCCAAAATTAGATGAAAATTTGATTGAAATCAACAGGGACAACAAAATTATTACATATTCTGAAATCTGTAATGCATTTTGTAAATTTCAGAGCTGACAATACTACTTAAAAATTAAAGAGTAAAATGAAAAAGGACAATCAAATTTGGATCCAAAATGAGTTTTTTTTCTTGAATAGATGTACCCTGCCTCAAGAGTAGAGCCCATTAGAAAACAGAATGGAACCATTTCATATCTAATGACCTTTTTGCCATTAATCCTAAATGTAATTTTGGTAATACCTGCAAATGAAGGCCTATCCATTCATGCTTTAAGCATTTTGGTACATTGTGACTCACCACTGAACTGCCTTGCCATCTCTGATGTCACCTTGGAATTAAAGTGGTGGGAAGCAAACCTCTTGATCTATCAACTCTTTTCTTTGTCAGTACACACAATAATATTATGGCTGCAATCTTACAAAGGTAGGCCACCCTGGCATAACAGGGTTTAGTTTCTTTGTGAGACTGCATCCTTAACATTATTGGGTCTTCTGACAAAGGAAAGAGTTGATAGATCAAGATGCCATTACTCAGATTGGGTACATCTGAACAACCATGAATGGGATTGCATTGAATTTATTACCTGACTATGTTTGTCTTAACAGCAAACATCTGGCCTACCTTGCTTTGTAGATTATGTTGTCAGATCCTGAATTTCTGGTTAAAATTGTCATAATGCTAGCACAGTGAATTCCTGATCTACTCAAGTGAATAGCTTCTTCTGGTTCAGATTTTAAGAGACACACATAATATGGTATTTGTGTTATCATATTTTAATTCTACCCTGTATCTAAACATGTATGTGTTTCATTCAGTATAGTACTATGCAAGAGGTTTTGAAAGAATTATAGTAAAAATTAAGAAATGCTCCACTAACAAATTTCCCTTGACTTGATATTTGCATAGGAATCATTGATTGATCTTTCTTTATTCTCTAGTTTAACAACACATAGAGGAATAGGGAAATTAAATTGTGTTCCTTTGGATATTTAAATGAGTATTGTGGTTAATTGTTAGCTTCTACATAAATAGTGAGAACAACTATGCTGACACATACTGTTGATGCTGCATTATTAGGCAAGGCCAGCAGAGTACATTTTTGAAAGCCAAAATTAAAATACACAAGAATGCTTTTTTTGATGTGTATACTCAGAAGCAACTTGTTGATGGTTTTCTGGAAAAACTGTTTGTGTAGTGTAGACTATTACTGAAAGTCAAGAATCAGTCTGTATAATCTATCATGTACTCTTTTCAAAGGATATATTTACATTTACATGAAACTAATGTCAGACATGCTTGAATAAGAAGTAAAAAGAGAGAAACATACATACCAGTCATAGTAAATGCACCCACCAACAAGCCAATATCTCTCCCACCAACTATAATAGCTTCACTACGATCTCCGTCGCCACTGTTTTTGGTTTTCCAAGCAGCCCATATTCCAACTAACAGGATGGCCAAGTAAAACACAATGATAGCTATCAATCCCTCCACGTGAAAAGCCATTTTGAAGATATAACAATTCTCTGGAGTGTTATTTCATTACTGTAAAAGTTAGAGAAAAGATAACAGCCTATTAAGCATTTGCTAGACATCAAAACACACATTTAAGTCCAAATTACACTAAAACATTTTTCCATTTTTTTAAATTAAAACAAACATTCAAACACATACTTACATTAAAACATTAGCACAAACAGTCATATATACAATCAAACAAATACTTGCCAACAAAATAGATTTCTTTACAAAATTAAGCTAGACTTCCCGGTTGAATTGACCTTCTATTAACTTAAGATTATGATCTCCTCTTCCTAAACTAATGCTATTCCAAGGACACCCAGGATACTTCACATAGATCTCTTATCTAAGAAAATTAAAACAAGCTTTCACTCTTAGTCCGCTGTCATATAAGAGAAAAAAATAAAAATAAAACCTAATATAAGCCTCTTCTAGTGTATAATATGTTTCTGATTTTCCCCCCTTCAAATTACACTAAAACATTTTAAAAAGTCACATTTTAAAACTTGTAACTATGATTGCTTTATTTCAGAAATAACCTCTTTATGTTTCAGACAATCCATATGTCATTCATGGCAATTGCACTCCCACTGAACAAATATTTCAGTCTTAAAATGTGGCTCATTTTCTATCTTTCCTTAGTTTTATCAACACATGTTTATTGAAATCTCTCCCCCCCCCACTTGGAATAAACTGATTTATGGAAGATCAATTTGGGTTCAGATTCAAAAGTTTCTCCATAGACTTCAAGAATATGGAAAATCAGCTTTAATCTCCCACAGCAGTTAATATTGTCCCCCATACTTTTGGGAGGTGTAAATGAACAAATGCAACCACACCAACCCTCCAAAAAACCCCACCCTTCTAAAATAACAAAGACTAGAAATGCAAAGACAAAACCTTTCACTTTTGCAATGTAGTTTTTGTTAAGATAAGAATGACATTTCCATCCCATGAGAAGAATGGAATCAAGTTTACCATTACACTGATACAGGTAAAAATTCATTTCTGCAACATGTAGGGTGTAAATAGAACCCAACACTATTACTTGTTCCTGCCAATGAAAGATGAAAGAGTAGAAACTGTTGATATATACAAATGATATATATATGAACAGATAATCTATCTCAGCCTTGGCTCCTTTCATTCTTTCAGAATGTACTTTTTCTTTCAAAGATCTCCTACATTTTTGTATTAGGAGAGAAGCAATATGTTTCTGACAAAATAGAGACAAGAGCCTCTGTGTGACATAAATGTTTTATGTTTCCATAAGAATCAGAATCAAGTATGATCCAATCAACTTCCCCAAATGTTGGTGTTCAAGCTAAGATCAATGATTTCTTTCTCCTGCCTCATCTTTAATGAAGAGTGCCTTAGAAATTCAAGATCAGTTTTTCTTTTTAAAAGTTCAAGCAAAAAAGCAAACATCTAGAAGAAATATTCCTATTTGCACTGGCCGTTTCTAAAAACTCTCAGACTAGCTTCTGTTACAAGTTGGATTCCTTTTATTACTCACACCCAGCAAAGACAATTATTGCTCACCATATTGTTAGGCAAAAACTCCCCCTCCCACCATGCCCTCCCCTTTTTCTTTCAGTTCTTCCCAATCCTTTCCTAATTCACCTCTTTTTCCAGCAGGTTTCCTCTTTTCCCTTCTTCCACTGTGCTCCGGCTGTACTTTGCCTTGATCTGGCATCAAGCAGCTCAATCTCAGCACCTTGTGTTCACCCACAGAGGCAGAGTATGAGAAGCAGTTTTCCCTGTCTTTAAAGGGACAGGCACACTTTCAAAGAGCTCCAATGTCTTAGAAGAGCATCACATAGACTAGTCTAGACACACATAGGGTCCTGTGCAGGGCACAGAGAAAGCCAATCACCCTAGACCAAGGAGCTAGATTTCCCCCCAGTCTTGGGAAATGCTGCTTTCTCTTCCTTTCTCCCCTATTCCTAATTGCATTTCAGGATTGCAACTATCGTGGTACCCAGCCAGCCAGTCAGTTAGCCACCCAACCCCAGTGGGAAAATTATCTAGGGCTCCCTCTCAAGAGAACAGCAATTCCTTCTGGATGCAGATAGAAGCAACAAAAATAGAAGGCCCTTGGCCTGGATGCTCCAGTTTCTCTAGCTCACCACTCAAGGTGGGGGAAAGATCCCCTTTTCTTCCTTTCCTTCCCTGGCTGTTGAGTGCATACTCATTTGGGTGTTTATTGGATTAAAAGAAAATATTTCATTATAAAGGAGTGGGGGTGAGGAGATCACAACCGTCAGAGCTGAGAGAAACACGTCACAGGGCAAACAGGGACCATGGGGCAGAGATGACTCAACAGAGCATGATTGACTATGTGGGAGAGGGATAAAAGGGGTGAAGGGGAAAAGAAAGAAAAGAAAGTGAAAATGCAACATGAGGCAGAATGCTAAGGGAGTGAGAGAGCTTTATGTTCAGATATGTGGACATACTGGTCAGCCGGAATAAAACCACACCCCAAATTCAGAATTAGTGGGATTTGGGCTGAGTCATATAGACCACACCAATATGGAAAATGACTACAAAAATGTGAGGATTTTAACTGAAATTTTCAATATTTTCACTGTAAAGCACCAATATGAACATTTTGTTTTGTTCCAGCATGATATTTTAAAGATATATTTCCATAATAAACTGCCTCTTACAATTTTCTTCTGTTCCCTAAATTTCAGTTTCCATTTTAATTTAACATCTCATAAGACAGGAGATTTCCTACTTCACAAGTACTGAGATTGCAACTCTAGGCGTATGTCCCTGGGAGTAAGATTCATTGACCATATAAAGAAATATGTGTGGATAGGATTCACACAAGGTAAGGGCCCTTGAACTTTTATTTCCACTGCATGCCCTTGGGCATCTTCTAAAGGGAAGCTAGCAACAATGGACTTGTTAAGTTAGATCTGGCATGGTAATTTGTTGTTGTGTGTCTTCAAGTCATTTTCAACTTATGGTGGCTCTAAGGTGACCCTATACAGGGGTTTCTTGGCAAGATTTGTTGAAGGGGGTCTGCCTTTGCCTTCTTCTGAGGCTGAGAGACTTACCCAAGGTCACCCAGTGGTTTTCCATGGCTGAGTGGGGATTTGAACCCTGGTCTCCAGAGTCATAGTCCAGTGCTCAAACCACTACACCTCACTGGTCCTTCTAGCACGATAATACTCTATGATAATAAAAGCCATAGAAGTACTTGAGGAAGAGCTCTAAAGTTTGCTCAAATGAGCAATATACTCAATTGGAGCCACACAATCAGAGCTTATGGCAAATCATCCATAAACTAGAAAACTGTGTGGTTTTCCAGTTCATGGGAATGAAGGGATGATTTTGCCTCAGTTCACTGATCCTCTGTCTTTATACTGAGATTTTACTTGCTCAGTTACTCAATTACTTGCAGGATGATCCAGCTGTTACTCACGAGAAATGATCCATTCCTCTCTCCAGTTCTTCTTTTTGTTACAATGGGACCTCTTCTGCATCTTCTTCTAGTACTTCATTTTATCTGCAATGACATTTTTTTTTCTGAACAGATGCTCCAAACAGCTCCAAATTATACCATGGTTGGTAATGGACATAATTTATATATTTTATGTGCAAACTAAATGAATGTAGCCAATGAAAACCTTAGATGGACCATAAGAAAAGAGGTTTCCTCTTCCAATCTGTCCTTCCATGCTGCTAACATGAAACATTTCTTTAGTGGTGGTAACAGTGAAGTAAACAGTGTACTTCTTGCAACTCAAAAAACCATCTAAGTGCTGCAGGGAGGGAAGACTGGGTAACTTTTCTTAGACCTCCACAAAGCGTCTCCTTCCTCCTTCCTGTCCTGTTGGCCCCTGCCCTGACCCTAACATTTTGTTCAGCAGAGCAATGCAAGATTGCATTAGGCCTTCAGTAGTTCAACATCTGAGCTATTCAACAGCCATAAGTAGGAACTAATACTAACTAGGAATTTCTGTGACCTGTGAATAATTTATCCCCTGCCAATCCTCAGATGGGGTGTACTGTCTGGGTAAGTAGTTGGGATTTGCTTTCTTCTACATCTGGCATAAATGTCTGGTGGTTACCTGCCACGGTGTGCTTCCATGGCTTCTGTTGTGTGAAGACTCCATCAGTTATTGCCCAACTGTGGAATCTGCTATCTGCCTTTGGAAAAGAGCTTCAGGAAGGACTATGTAGTTTCTCATGTGCTTTGGAAAGTACCACAACTGAAGTGGAATCTACCACCACAGGGAGAAAGTTTTCTACAATTTTGAAGATGGACTTTGCATTAAGGTTTACATCCTCTCCAGTCACTGGATAATACTTTCAGTTAGGCTTTGACTTTGACTTTCTGCATTATCAAAAATCAGTCTTTGCTAATACACAGATAGTTATGAAACTCACTGATGATAATGAAACCTTGGACTAATCACTTCCAACCTACGTTTCTTCATGCAACATTTGTGAAGCTAAAGACTAGAGAGTCTTGTAAGATGCTTTTAGCTCATTGGAGGAAAGGTGAGATATAAATGTTATTAATAAATAAGTAGATGCAATTATTTCCATCTCATTAATAATATTTTAACAGATGATGCAATATGGAATAGGGAGCAAATATTCTAGAAAGGGAAATCATAGTATGCCAGCTGGCAACTTCTTTTGTCCAGGTGTTTTCATAGTTTATTTTCTCTAGAATAAATAAAGCATTGCACTATAATGCTATTATCCAAATGCTGAAAGTAAAGCAAATCTCATCTGTACTCAGTGAGTTTATGACCAAGAACATCATCACTGTGATATATGAACTCACAGGGACTTGAAGAGTGCAATTGTAGTTGCACTTTCTCTCAAAGTAATCAAACAACTCCTGAATTCTTTGCTATATATCTTCTATTTCCTTCTCATCTACCCCAATTCCAGACAGGTGGTTTTTCTAAGCAATAGCTGAATAATTTCTTTGGGGACTCTATAGATACTAAAGTAAATTGTAGTGGGACACTCATGATGAATGACACCCCCAAAGCAGCCATTTGTTTTGCATCCCATAGCTAAGTTATTTATTTAGTTCAGTTGAAAAACATTGTCCTGAGAGAAAGCCCTGCTTTTTGTTTGAATAGGTATATCAAGATTAGTGTATTGGTTTGTTTGTCTACTTTTATCCCAATGTTTTCCCCAAACTATGACTTCAGGCAGGCCACAATAAGATTTTTAAAAAAGATAATATATAAAGACTATACCAATTGATACCAAATAAGCTATAATATTAAAACATAACTAAATAAATTATCTTACTGAAAGACAAGCAAATGAAAAGTGATTTTGAAAACATATCCATAAATCTGCCTTTGTAATCACCAGTAGTCAGGTCCCTACTTTTATCTTTATTAATTAACTATAGAATCTGTATAATGTAATATATAACGTAGTGTAAAATAGTATTGTTACTGGTTATTTTTTATGGAAACTTTAATGTGTGTGAATGACAGTGACAGGCAAAATATGGTCCAACTTCCCTTT